GGGGGTAGGCGCTTATTCGATACCTTAGAGTAGAAGTCAAGGTCATGATGGGCGGATAGACGGAACGCTGAGTGGGCTGTTAATTATCATTAAATCTTCAGTAAGGATATAACAGTAAGTAATCTGTATTGTTTCTAATGATTGATTTATATAACTTGATGTTAAAGAGGATTTTATAAACAGAAGTGCACGTACTGGTGTTCGCGTATTTATAAATTGTATGTGTTTGAAAGTGTTATCACAAAAACACACACACACACACACACACACACACACACACACACACACACACACACATACACACACGGGCACACACACACAAACACACAAACACACACGCACACATATGCACACTCGTACACACATACGTAAACACATGCACACACACATATACCCACGCACGTGCACGTACACACATACTCATGCGTGTTTGTGTGCGTGTGTGCGCGTGCGTGTGTTTTTTAAGCTTTATTGCACTTGTAGCACAATACGGTCGTATATTTTAGTCCCGACTATTACAGGTTTTACAAGAGATTAGCATGCAAAGTAATAAAGGAGAAGAGAGAGAGACAACAGATCTTTGACAAGAAAATTCCAATCTACAGCAAAGCAACTGTCATCGTATACTTTTATTGATGTGGCATTATAATTTAAACATATAGGATGTGCTTTGGTTACCAATTATGTAGGTAGGTCGATTACGTTTTAGGGCTATGCTTCTATTTTGTATTGCATGATCACCATTAAAATTTCAGGTTGACTCTACTGAAACTGAGTGAGAAGAACATTAAACTTGAACTGATGTTTCTGCACACTTTACTTTATTCAACTGCATTGGCTACCACACAATGACCAGAAGCTTCTGAGGATTAAGTGTTAGAAAAATTGTTGTTAGTTTACTTTTAAAAACAATTATTGTCATAAGAAATATAGAGCGTAGAATTTAGTTATATGGTATAGGCCTAATTGAAGCTAACAGACGACTTATACTTTTTTTTTTACAAACCCCCCCCAAAAAAAACAAGACAAAATATTTCAATCGATAGACAAGTTGTTCTCCCTATACTCAAAAGATGGGAGCTCGATTCTTTGTTTGGGAAGTATATCTGATCGAATGTTTCCGTACTGGACTTAAGATGCTGTGTTCCTTAAAGCGTGATTTGATCCTGTCATGAAGGACAGAATTAGACAGTTTCGAAAAAAAATATACATTGCGTCACTGAAGACGCTAAACATTCCCACACTCACGCACGCTCGCACGCACACGCACACACACAATCACACATACACATACATACTCTCTCTCACACACACACACACACACACACACACACACACACACACACACACATACACACACACGCACACATACACACACACATTCACACATAGACACACACATACACACACGCACATACACAGTTGGGTTCATTTTAAAATGCGCCTCTCTCCACGCCCTTACAAATTACCTCTACAATGACAGTGACTAATGCTCGACGGAACGAGTGCGCTGTACAGAATCATAAAATGCCTTGTGGAAGACAGATTTTACTTTCTCAGACAGGCCTTGATCTAGGTCTTAAGGCCAAACTTCTACAAACACTATCGAAAAAGCTGCTCCTTACGACGTACAAGCACAGCGGCTGAAAATACTGGAAATTGGAAATCCCCCGCCCCCTCACTGTTGATCGAAGAGGCATAAATATTTACCTAGGAAGCAGGAGGCCTGTTTAGACTTTGGCATACGTTTTAAAAGATAGAGATTAGCTTGTTCGTCTGGCTTTTTTTTTAAAGACTATGTCTGACTTTAGTCAGATTCCATCTTGTCTTTGTCACAATCGTGTTAAACCATTCAGGTTTGAAGTAGCACTGTGGTACTTACATTCAATTTATGTAATAGGCCTACTTAGAAGAGTAGCCACGACGGTTAAGAAAAAAAATTGTTCTCAGACTTCTTTACTTCACCTAATTTTCTTTCTATTTTGTGGTTTTAGTTTTTACATTTGTTCCGGTCTCATCTTGACTTTTTTTCTTCTTTCATTTATTGTTTCTTATCACTCAGATGTATCCCACATCTATTATCATCGGCAGTTAAAGAGTATTTCTTTTTATGTAATCAACCTCTACGCATTATTGGTTACACATTCTGACGCTTCAGTGCACTCTTATCATTCGTCATGATTGTCCTTGTTGAACTTACTGCACATAGGCACTTTTCCTTGTTGAAAAAATGAGTCGTTACCGTGGAGAAGAAAATCGGGAAAATTTGATTATGATAATAATGACGATGATAAAGATGAGTACAAGGAGGAGGAGGAGGAGGAGGAGGAGGAGGAGGAGGAGGAGGAGGAGGAGGGTGAGGAGGAGGAGGAGGAGGAGGAGGAGGAGGAGGTGATAATGAAATTGTTATTAACTCACAAACACTAACAAACACACACACACACACACATACTAACACACACAGACACAAGCTTACTCAGACACACACATACAAACACACACAGACACAGGCTTACTCAGACACACACATACACACACATGCACACACACACATACACATACACACATGCACATACAAACACAGACACAGATGCACATAAAAACACTCACTAACACACACACACACACACACACACACACACACACACACACACACACACACACACACATACACATACATAAACAGTGCGCCCGTTTGTTTGCGTACGTGTTTATTTGTCTTAATTTTTTTGCAGGTCCAGAGATAAAAGGTTCCTTTCCATACTGTGTTGTTACAAAACCCTTTGACTTTGGACCCCGAACACGATAAAGATAATTTGCATAATGACACAGCAACATAAATATAATGAAAACACAAAGAATTTGAACACTTCTTTCACTAACCTGTTTCGGCGTAAAAATTCGTTGAAGATTGGCATCTTGTGGGAGAAACAAAAAAACCAAAAAACCCAGCACGCTGATATATTATTATATTTCTAACCTTTGAAAAAACAGACACCACAACATCAGGCAAAACCGGGTCTAAAACTTCCTTGTCAGCTGGAATCCTTCATTGCGGTGCACATCTCATTTCAGCAACGTCATGAATAATGTAGCAAAGGTAGCGCCGACCCGGCCTCGTATCAGACATTCAGAGCATACTCTGCACACCCGAGACTTTATTGAGTACACGTAATACGGGGTCTCGGTATTTGACTTTTAACCTGTTCTTCTTTTCCTGCTAGACAGTTTGACGAATTTTCTATGGATACGATGTAGTTGAGAAAAAGGTTTACGGTTGATATTTTAAAGTGCGCAGCGGGTACCTTTGTTTAATAATAATAATAATAATAGATAGCATTTGTATAGCACATATCCCCGCTCAACAGCAGGCTCTATGCGTTTTACACTATAATATTACCCCAGCAGACCATAGAACACTCCGAAACCTGTTCTTCCTAAAACTTCCTTGTCAGCTGGAATCCTTCATTGCGGTGCACATCTCATTTCAGCAACTTTATGAATAATGTAGCAAAGGGTGCGCCGACCCGGCCTCGTATCAGACAAAGTATTTTTAAATAGAACCAAAAAAAACAACAACTGAATTTGGCGTGCATAGGTGGCTGGGGGAGGGGGGGGGGGTGGGGGGGCGAAGTGGCGTTTGGGACGGGGAGAGGGGGGTGAGTAGATAGGAAGAACAGAAAAAAGAGTCTTTTCGGTAGACTTGTATACCGAGATTACAAAACATGATACGCTGTAACACACAGACGCACAAGGATAACATAAACTCACCCCTACACACACGCAAACACACACACACACACATACACACACGTTATATATATATATATATATATATATATATATATATATATATGTGTGTGTGTGTGTGTGTGTGTGTGTGTGTGTGTGTGTGTGTGTGTGTGTGTGTGTGTGTGTGTTATATACGGACTCACACAAGCGCACGATAACACACGCTCAATATGTGTTATATCATAATAAATTAAAACTGTGAGTGTGGATGGTTGTGTGCACAAAAAGTATGTGCGCGATTCTGAGTGTATGTGAATGAGTTAAAATTAAATGAGTCAGACAAACAAAATACGTGTGAAAGAGAGAGAGAGAGAGAGAGAGAGAGAGAGAGAGAGAGAGAGAGAGAGAGAGAGAGAGAGAGAGAGAGAGAGAGAGAGAGAGAGAGAGAGAGAGAGAGAGAGAGAGAGAAAAAGAGAGAGAGAGAGAGGGGGGAAGGGGGAGTACACAGACAGACAGACAGACAGACAGACAGACAGACAGATAGACAGACAGACAGACAGACAGACAGACAGACAGACAGACAGACAGACAGACAGACAGACAGACAGACAGACATATTATACAGAACGTTGAAATTACATGAGAAGTAAGGCAACAAAGACTGCTGTATGATAGCCATACATAGTGCATTGGGGCATTTTTTTTTAAATCTGAAAGCTCAATTCCCCCCCCCCCCCTTTTAGAGACCAGTATTTAATCATTCCTAGCGGCTCTTGTTTCCCCGCTAGAATGGTGTACTAAATGCAAGTAGATAGATAGATAGATAGATAGACGTATTTTGTGATGTTCTGGTATTCGTCGGTTCTCCATTGTTTAGTCAGGTTGAGTGTTGTTTGAAACACACTGTTGACTGTCTTTCGTGTTGTTTGAAACACACTGTTGACTGTCTTTCGCCCAGATGGTGATACCATGACTGTCAGCCCCGGGATAAGGACGCCGATAGCTTCGTTTAAAAACATCCATAAATAAGGTCATACGAGTACAATGAGAGCGCTGTTATCTGACAGGAAGGTTTTAAATTTTTAAAACGTTAGCGTGCTTTGTTTTGTTTCTTTTTCTCTTTGAATGTTCTTGTTGTATAAGTCCAATGTCATTCTGTACATAATATGTAGGTCTTGAAAACGTGTTTAGCTAAGGAGAAAAGACAAATACAAACACACCCAGTACATTTAAGTTAATTGTAAGACTTTTAAAAAATAGATTATGTTTTGTTAACAATTAGAGCACAAAGAAGGTTCGTATGCACTTCTGGTTTGAAACAAACATGCTTTCGCTAATTTTAGTACTTGTGGTTGAGTGTTGTAGAAATGCAAATGTGTATACTGAAATATTAATTAAACGCTTTGAAATAACTCTACTATGTGTATTAACATGTTACTCACTCATTCGTGCCTTAACTTGCGTCGTCGAATGAAACTGAGCACAGAACATGTGAAGATAATAAATTTCCCCGAGGCCTCATTGCTTGTTGTCGATAAGTTCTCTTACCGGCCAGCTATTCCATTCTTTAATATTGTCAGACCAGCTTTATGTTAATCATCCTCATTTTAGATTGCCTTCAACAATGCCCTGCATGATTATCTTTGTAAGGCTTTCATGTCAGGATGTGTGTCCAAAACCAGAAAACTAGTCGTTGTCGGAATGGAAAGTAAGCGGTCGGTGGGTGCTCTTGTGCGTTTTGCTCCTTCTTTATTATCAAACATTGATTGCCGTTAACTCCTCTCCGTCTGTTTGTGCGTTTTCTTCTCTTGTAACAAGTTTAGTATCCGGTTCTTACATGACCACAGTGTGTTACAAATGTTGTAAAACTCGTACTAAAGCTAAAGAAAGCACTGGCGCCATCTCCACACTGAGACAATTATATGAGAGAGCGATGTAACAAACCAGAAACTTGAACATAGTGACTCTGAATCAGGAGAATGTATTTGTCAGAATAGACATTGGGCAGACTATGGCTGAATTTGAAAAAAAATATGGAAAGAAAAATCTACGTCTTAGTTACATAAAACACAATACGGAAAAAGTCGGAGTTGTGTGAGAACTAGAGCGGAACACATTGAGAGGTTCAACGTGATATCAGGCGCCAGACAAGGCTGAGTCCTATCACCGCTATTCTTCATAATCTACACATACACATCAAGGCAAGAGGCAAACGACAACTCAAAAAACTGCTCTTCGCTGACGACCAGAGCATCACATACCAAGACCACGACCGCGTACAAGAACATATCACAAAATGGAACAAGGTATGTGAGAAATACGGAATGAAAATCAGCACAACAACGACAAAAGTAAGTCACGTCTCAAGAAACGAAACCCCTCGTAATATCCAGGTTCACAATACACAACTGGAACAAGTACAAGCATATTCCCAGCAGACGGGAACATTGACAGAGAAAATGAAGAAAGAGTACACGAGGTAAATGAATTCACATGCCAACTATCACCAATCCTCTCCCTTCGAAACCTTCCAATGTGGACAAAGAACTAATTATTCGTGTCAACCTTTATACCAAGTCCCTGCTAAGAGGGCCAAGCCTGAATCCTCATTAAGTCGCAGTTAAAATAGAACAACAACATGGGAACTTCAATGACTTAGAAAAGCATAATATATTACATTTTACACCTACCCCAAAAAAGCGGGGTGACAAACAAAAGTGAACCCGGGGGCAGAGGTTATCCAATGATCAAATTACCAAGCCACTCTCACTGAATGAAAACCGTCTAGGGCCCGCAGAGGAGTAGGAACCAGCTGCACATTTCCCAAAATAACGGAACTACCTTCCCATAATAAACAATAGGTCAGAAACAAAACATCGTTCTCTGGACAGAAACAATATGTGCGGGTCTTTCTGATCAACCTGATTGTTCCTTGCGAAAGTAATAATAATTGCATTTTTATAGCGCATATCCATGCTCAAGAGCTTGCTCTATGCGCTTTACAACTATTATTACCCCAGAAGACCCTCTGAGAAGACTCAGAAACATTCTCAGCTTCCGCGGAAGCATACAGTGCAAGCTGCGGATTTCACGCTCTCAAACACTATCAAACTGACAAGATCGTTCACTGTCTATAGCTGGGTATCCATTTCCACCTGGGTGAAGTGAGGAAAATTTGTGCAAAGTGCCTTTCCCAAGGACACAACGTCGGGCCCCTGACGGGATTCGAACCCACGACCTTACGGTTGCGAGTCCGAGAGCCTAACCACTAGGCCACCGACGCCACAAGTAGGATGGATGCAAAACATCCATTGAAGTTGGCAAAATATGAAGATCTCTTGAAATATCTACCAGCAGTGTTATAGGTCATGCCAGTAGAAATGGGTGCAAAAGAGTATTCTGCTGCCTCGACCGTCAAACTGCTGTGGCAACTTGATTACAAAAGCCAGGCGAGAAAAGCATTCGATTGCCAAGCGCATTTCAGGAATCATTCTAGCTCTGAACGAAAAAAAATGAAAGTTGTGGCTATTATAATAAAACAGGAATTTGATAACAAGACAAAAATAAAGAAAAGTCTATAAATGTATAATAATCATAGATTTGCTTTTGAAAACTACAAATGGGGGCTCCACGGCATTTCACAAGCATTCACAAACTAAGAACAGGAGATGCAAAATACTGCCAGGGTTCGATCTCGACTAGGGCTTTAAAAATAATATAGATCAAAGAAAAGAAAATAAAAAAGGAAAAAAGGGGAGGGCACCCTGAAATCAGGACCTGGGTGACTGAGTGTGGCATGGCCCCCTTGGAATGTCAAGTATTTAGCGCCAAAACACTAGCTCGAAAGGATTTTTTCCTTTGAAGATCTGATGTCTGCTAAGCCCATGCCATATCTCTTCTTAAATGACCTGAATCACATTTGAAGGTTACAAACAACTAACTATGTCTATACATTTTTCTTGCAATGCGATGGCCAGAGGCTGACATACTGTATAACTTTTACAAAGCAGAAACCGATCAGGCAATCATAAATATTATGATTTCAGACTCGTGCACTAAAGTGTTCAAAACTGCATCAACACCGAAAGTGGGTTTCTGCATAGCTTTTCAACTTAACCTTATCCCAAAACATCATTATACAAAAGACCTCCAAGTCAAGGCAGTAAAAGCACAACAATTAAAAATCACGGTGTGAGTTTGTGTGCCATAGAATTACTGGTAATAATTAAACATTATCCAGTTGGTAAAGGGAATTCACGAAGCTAGATATTTTTTGAAATGATGTGTTTTCTAAGAATGAAATGTTTCTCGCTATATAACTTTGAACATCTTCATTTAAACGTCCCCCTCTATTTGTACCACATTGGTGTACAGGCTGTTCACTGACTAAGCCATAAGCTACTTTCTATTAAAATTGATGAAAATGCGAACAAGAGAAATAAAATCCACATTTAG